ATTCACTCAACATGCTTAACTGGATACTAAATTGATTCATATATTGGTCTGAATAGTACACTGAACAATAACCCAACCAAATTAGCTAGATTTGCGTAACATAAGCAATGAAAAGACTAATATATTTATCATGACAAGCAAATGTAGATGTTAGGTTTTCTCTAACCTAGCTGTGTGTGTTCTGATATCACAACTACTGTCAGTAATCTTTCTGAATTTCTAGCCAGTTGGTGAGGGGAGAACATTTTTTGCGCATAAGCAGATAAACCAATATTCAACTTTTATCCCTCTCACTTTAAAACAAACTCTCATAATTTTAAGGCAGTAATATTACACCCCAAAAACATCAGTTAATATGTCCACAGATCACACCGAATTAAACATTTCTGTTTGTAGCATGTGCACTGATCTTAGTTGTTATTTAGGGCATCTGGCCAGGTTTTAACTAGTATTTAAAAGCTTCCTGACATAAATTGGCACATGCTGAATGATTAGTGTCAGATCATGAAAAAGTATAACTGACATAGGAAGAATACATCTGAAGAAATTGGGAATACATAGCTAACATCTTACCAAGCAAATTGGTGAAGTGGTCTAGAGGATGGAGACTATGACTTCTAGTCCTGCTTGAGACACAAAACCAGCTGGGGGACCTCAGGGCAGAGAGACAGTCACTCTCTCTTAGCCCTGAGAAGAAGGCAAGGGCAAACCACTTCTGAAATCTTGCTAAGAAAACTGAAGGGACTAGACCAGTGTTTCTCAACCTTGGCAACTTGAAGATGTCCGGACTTCAACTCCCAGAATTGGCGAATGCTGGCTGGGGAATTCTGGGAGTTGAAGTCCGGACATCTTCAAGTTGCCAAGGTTGAGAAACACTGGACTAGACAGTCCAGACCAGACAGTCTCCAGGAGTCAAAACTGACTTGAAGGCACAAATACACATATCTATTTCACCAGTTGGCTGAATCAATCAATTACTGTTTTAAAAGAAACATCTACATTTTTGAGTCCAAAACTAAGGGAATTCACCTCCAGGCTACTTTAGCACCGCAACCACAGTCATCGAAGGCCTCTTAAAAGCCTCATTAATTTAGTGAGCTGGAGGCTGCTACTATCACCTAACAAATTCAGTTATGTGCTCTTCCCCAAGGAGCTGCAATAATATATAGTAACTGGAAATCTGGCCTGGATCCTTGAAATTCCCTGCTTTAATACACGACGTCATTTTTTAAAAAAAATAATCCTTTATGAAATTAGGAGTTTGTCTGGTGGGAGGATAACCAAACCCTTTCTTATGACTAATGTTTTTTGCTTACAAATGTGTACATTTTATTTTTACAGATTGGAAAAGAGAATTTTTTCATGCTTCTTCATGCCCCTCTTGGCTGATTTTTTAAATATATCTTAATGCAAAATATGTGTTAATCTTTGCCATGTTGCTTTATTAGAAATTAGAATAAGCAAATAAGCAAAATAATTGTAAGCAATTAAATAGTTGCAAGGACAAAGTCAAAAATGAAAAGAAAATAAATTCTAGGTAGGACATTATTTGAAGGGACTAAAAGTTATGATTGATAGAAATAAAAAGAAGAATATAAAGTTAATCTTAACTTTTAGTCCCTTCAAATAATGTCCTACCTAGAACTTGTTTTCTTTTCATTTTTGTCGTTGTCCTTGCAACTATTTCATTGCTTACAATTAGTTTGCTTACTCTAATTTCTAATAAAGCAACATGACAAAGATTAATGCATCTTTTGCTCTTAATGGTCTCTGGTATCCCTAAACAGATTTTTGCTGACCAGGACTGAATAATGAAGCTTTAAGGATTTGTTTTTCTTTCCATATCCCATCTCCCATTTCTTTATAAGTTTATTTCTTTTTCTTTATTATATTTTATCTTTTCTTCCTTTTCTATTTTTTCTTTTCTCGACTTTCTGTTTTTTCTTTTATTAGTACGGTATGTATTAGTTCTTATCCTTTAATTGTAATATTTAATAAAATTAACATAAAAATAATTTTACCTGAGCATGGTGTGTAGTGACCAGCTCTTGATAACACACCGCCATTGTGTGATTTGAAGTATACTGAGGGGCAAAAAGCCACCCTCATGGACCAGCATGGACCTTCTGTTTTGAGGTAACCACACTTATGGATGATCAATGACTGGAAGATGAGATTTCCTCGATGCCATTCCCCCTCCCCACCATTATAAATTGATTTCTCCCACCACATCAGCATTCTGGGGGAACCCAGATAGAATGAAAGGAAAATATTCACCCCACACAAGTCTGGCTAATTACAGAAAGGAAATCGAATAAGAAAGTCGGGTCATTAGCTCAGCCCAGCTGAGGTGGGTGATAGATGGCAACTGGCCAATTGAAACAAAAATCAACTTTATGAGATGCACCAAAAGAAACTTCTTCAGCTGAAGAAGCTTCTTGGATGAGAAGCGAAACATCTTCAAAGAAAAAACCAGAAAGTCCAGTTACTTCTTGAGAAAGCACCTTTGGGACAACCATGACCTGGATGACTCAGAATCTCCATAGACACCAAAATAAAGTTTCCACTCATGTAACAGTTTAAATGCAAAACAACAACAACACCCCTAACATACTTCTAATTAAGCTAATTTTCCACCTGGCTGGAGATCACCCCTCTCACCACACACGAAACTCGTCCTGCACCAAACTTGACAGAACCCCCTTCTTTTCTTCTATTAGCTCTCTAAGCATATGAGGCTGGCTTGTTCTTCTGGCTGTACCCCACCATAGGGAAGGAAGAAACTGCTGTGCAGCATATCTTTAGCATGTCCTGGCAAAGGTGCACCAGTCCCTGCAACTGTATCTCTGGGGGCTTGATAATGCAGAGCAGTCAGAGAATGTGGGGTACAACCAATCAGTGGTGGGTTCAGACCAGTTCAGCTGAACCGGTAGTGGTTTGGCGCCTGGGTTGCTGGAACAGGCAGTGACCAGGCCTGCCATGCCCCCGAACCGGTTCCCCGGTCGGCGCTGTTGGTGCCTCCATCTTGTTTTTCAGTTCTGTGCATGCGCAGAACAATTGTAATTGTACTGTGCATGTGCGCACGGGCACAAAGCACACACACGAGCGAACCAGCAGTAGTGCCAGCCAGAACCCAGCCCTGCAACCAATCCTGAAAACTTTCCTGAGCAAAGTCTTCATACTACACCCGCCAGGATTGTTGTGAGTCTAAATAACACCAACATACATTAACTGTGTAAGAACAGGAGCCAAGATTGCCACACACTCACAGCTACTGAAATTAGCTCCTAGCTTGCAACAGGCCTTATCACTTCTGGCTTAACCCGCTGCCTCCAAAATGGCACCCAGAGACAAGAAAAGAACACGGACCAGCCCTAACAATGCTACTGTGGGAACCATAAGTCTAACACAGCAGAAAAACAGATGAGGATTGACTCTTCTCTCCTCATTGCAGAGGCAACTAAAAGTGTAAGTAATGGATCCATGGTGCCAGAACACCCTTCACCTTCAAAGACTGTAATAATGCAGGATCCAGCCTGAAAAACTGGCTTCCTCATCACCTCTCCAAAGACTTGCCAAACCATCCCCTTGAGCAAGGAGATTAACTGTGAGGTTAACTCCCCACTGAATCTAGGGCTTCTGCTCAAAAGTACACTAGCCCACATTTTAAAGTAGAAACATGAAAAGAGAAATAAATATTAGTTGTTTTGTTAGATTTTAACACCCCCCTTTATTACTTTATAAGTAACTCAAGGTGGCAAATATACATAATACTGTAGCAATAGCAATAGCAATAGCAATAGCAGTTAGACTTATATACCGCTTCATAGGGC